CCATGTTGTAGGAAGTGATTGGCTACTGCTACAGGAATAGCAGAAAACCGTGCTCTCCCTTCTACTGTAATGGGTTAAGTTCATGGAATGAATGGTATTTCTGGATTAATTGGATATTGTGAGGCAGCCATTTCAGTGGTCAGGAGTTAGAATACTAGAAACAGCCTGAAAAGCCCAAAAGAGCTTCCCAGTCCTAACGTTTCTTGCAGTTGTTCTTTACCATGATTAGTTAATATAAACGTTCTTGATTTATAGCATTCTTAATATGCTGGTAGGATTCTAATTTTTAATAAGAATGTTAGCGTCCATATCCTCAGAAGAATTGAGAAATTATATGTCAGTGTTGGGATAGGAGATTTACAGATCCGTAGAAGGGAGTATTTTCTGCCTTGAAAATTATGGAAATTGAAGTAGTATCTCTTAAAACATGCAGCTGATAATACGGAGAAAGTTATTTCTAATGGCTCAGACTTTGGTAAATTTTCAAATTCGATATAATGAACATAATTATTCAGGGTTTAGGTGTTATAAATCCATTTTCATTTATACATAATTGCATGTTACCTATCACCTTAGATGTTAATTCTGTTTCTTTAATGTAGCAGATGGGAGAGTCTTCTGTTTAGGAGACAATAATATTAAACATCTGTGCTGCTCTGTAGACTTAATTGCTTTTGGAATTATAGCAAAATGGATTACAGTCAACTCTCTGTGTCTGTGGCTTCCGCCTCTGGAGTCAACCAACAGCAGATCAAAATTATTTGGGGGCTGGACACAGTGGCTCATGCCTATAGTCAGCCACTCAAGATCTTAGCTGAAGTGGGAGGATCTTTGAGCCCAGGAGTTCAAGGATGCAGTGAGTTATGATTGTGCCACTGCACTCCAGCCTGGGCAATACAACGAGACCTTATTTCTGAGAGAGATACATATATTTTATATACATATATATCTTTTATTGATATGTATAATAATATATATTTATATGTGTATATGGGGAAGAAAAATGGATGATTTTGTACTGAACATGTACAGACCTTTTTTCTTGTTATTATTTTCTTTCTTTTCTTTTCTTTTTTTGAGACGAAGTTTCACTCCTGTTACCCAGGCTGGAGTGCAATGGCACGATTTTGGCTCACCGCAACCTCTGCCTCCTGGGTTCAGGCAATTCTCCTGCCTCAGCCTCCTGAGTAGCTGGGATTACGCACACGCCACCATGCCCAGCTAATTTTTTGTATTTTTAGTAGAGACGGGGTTTCACCATGTTGATCAGGATGGTCTCGATCTCTTAACCTTGTGATCCACCCGCCTCGGCCTCCCAAAGTGCTGGGATTACAGGCATGAGCCACTGCGCCCGGCCCCTTGTTATTATTTTCTAAAACATACACTATAACAAGTATTTGCACACTAGAGGTGATTTCAGATATACAGGAGGATATGCATAGGCTAAATGCAAATACTGTACCCTTTCACAGCAGGGACTGGTGCAGCTACAGATTTTGGTATCTTTAGTGCGTCGTGGAACTAGTTCCCCCATCTATACCAGGGAACACGGTAATTCAGTATTGGTTATCATGGCCACGATTGGTAAGCAATATTTACAGAAGAAAACCTTGACAAGGAACCATTTTTAAATTTCAGTTTTAATTTCTAAACATTGTTTATTTTAAAAAAATCTTTACATATAACTTTAAAAGAAAATCAGTTTGTATGGTATTTATTTTTCCAAATTTGTTATTTTTTAAAAAGGAAGTATTTTCTAAGAGAATAAGCATCTAACTTCATTTCAATTAATACATTTAATTCCAGTTGACTAACCATCAAACTAGGTTTTTTTTAAAAAAAGAACATTTATTTTTCTATCTTCAGCATGCTTATTTTTTATTTGCGATTTGATGAGTTAATGATTTTATCCTCTGAACTATTCTACTAGGATTGTACTTATTCTCTTCTTGTGTATTTCTTTATAAATGAATGTTCTTTGTATCTGTTACAATATGTATCATAGACATTGAATACATAATTGGAGCACTTAATTTTTTATTTTGAAATAGTTATAGATTCACAGTAAGTTGAAAAAAAAAATGTACACAGGTCCTATGTCCCCTTCACTCAGTTTTCTCCAGTGGTAGCATTTTTTGTTTTTTTCTAAATTTGCATTGTTTTTTAAAGGCAGTATCTGGTTTGCCCATAGGGAAGAAAGCCTAATAATGGCATTGAGTGAGTGAGGGAGGGGAAGAAGAGGGCACGGCCAACTGCCCATCCCATCATAGTCTGGAACTAAGCATCCAGGGTTTCTCTGGGGTCCCTTTGGCCAAAAGGGGGTCTGTTCGGTCAGTGAGGGGCTTAGAATTGTATTTTTATTTCTTAGGATGGAGACAGGACCTGGCGTGGCTCAGTTTCCCAGCTTCTCCAGTGGGGGCCTCCTTTCCTGTCCACTGCTGGTTTCTGCCTTCTGCCAACAGCCTTGTTCTTTCCTGCCCTTTGCATGTGCTGTTTCTTCTGCCTGAAATGCTTCTTTCCCCTTCCTACCCATCCCTCTCTTGTCTAATTAATACCTATTCATTTTGCAAATCTCACTCCTGCGTCCATCAAGCCATTCAAGGTCACAGGCCATTTTTTCCCAGCACACATTACAGTTAGTAACTGTGGAATTGGTGCTTATGTGGACAATGCTGGTTGGGAAGCTTTGGGGGCAGGCACCCCACTGTTGCCCACTGTTTGTGCCCTTTGTGCCTAATACAGTGCTTGCTCACATGGTCTTCGTATGTGTTAGTTAAATGAGAAAATATTGTCACAGCTTCATGGGTTCTTCTTGCCCACTGCCCAGAAAAGCTAATGCACTGAGAACAGCAGGCATTGCAGCAGAGAAAGAGTTTAATGTAGCAGGACCAGCCAAGAGGAAAACAGGCATTTCTCAAATCCACCTTGCTGAGAACTTGGAGTTTTTGGAGTTACTTTATCAGGCAGGGACCTGGGGAACTGAAACAGTTGTTAGGATTCATGTTACATTTAAAAGATTTTTCAGGCTTCATCCACAGCCTGGATGGATGAAATCCAGGAGTGGATGAAATCACAGGCATGTCTAAACTGTCTTTGCACAGCTGAGTCAGTTCCTGGTTGGGGGGTGGGTCTCAGGACCAGGTAGCATCTCTTGGTTTGTCAAAATGCTAAATATGAAAAAATACCTCAAAGATCAGTTCTCTAGGTTCCACAGTGGTGATGTTATCTGCAGGAGTAGTTGGGGAAGTTACAAGTTATAGCTTCCAGTTATGTGATTCTGTGGCAGTAAGCAATTTATAGAAAAGCAAACTTAGCAGTGGCAGGTCTGTCATTGTTTAAGTGTGTCTATTGTTCAGCAAAGCCCAGGCCCCTACCATAATTCAAATCCAGCCTTAGGAATGTGGTTTCAGTCCCCAAACAAGCAGGAAGGTCAGTTTTCCTTGCCTCCAAGTTTAACTATAAACCAAATTTTTCTCACAGTTCTCTTGGCCTCTGCACTAGAATAAGCTAAAGACAGTGTACCCTGTGAGGTGAGAAGCGGGATGGAGTCAGTCATGTTAGACTTCTCTTATTTACAATTCTGCTAAAGTGGTTTCAGTATCATCCTTCCACATATACTTTTTTTGTAAAAATAAAACTCTTAAAACTTGGTGACGCCTGAAAAATCTTTTAAATGTAGCATGAATCCTGTCAACAACATAAAATATGATATAAAGTAAGGTTTAAAGAAACGTGAACATTTTTATGCAATCTATTGGCAGATATGGCTTAACTAAATCTTGACTTTAAAAAATCTTGTTTGAGGAAATATTTCTTTCATACAAGATGGGTGCCCCTGGTGTTAGAAGGCCCCAGGCCTGTGACCTGTACCAGAATCCACATTATGTAGCTTCATCGCATCTGTGTCTTAAGTCTTTAAAATTGTCTTTTCTGCCGAGTTTGCTTCTCATGCTGACAAAGGGAAAGAGAAGAGGCTGCAGGTTTGTCATCTGAGCAGTCAGCAGATTCTGTGTCTTTCACTTAAGAAGCCATTTCCTAGCAGTTCTTGTATTAGTTCATTGATTCACAAACCTTTCCTGAGTGTCTGCCGGCTCCAGGCACTGTTCTAGGCCCTGGGTGTGGACGCCTACAAAGCAGTGGCTAGTTCTCCCTTCCAGCAGACAGTCCTCAGTCTCATTCACAGGTGCTAAATCTATAGAGCCAAACCACTGAGTAACTTGCCATTGGTCTTTATATAATGTGTTTCTCTTTAGAGGGCCTTTTAGCTTAGCTAGGTTGTAAATAGTTCTGTAAATTGATATGTTTCTTTAATAAACATCAGTATTAATTATTTTAAAATTGAGTGAGATGGAGCAAATTTCTTGTTCAACTACATTGTTAATTTATTTCTAAGAGGATCTGTGTGTTACAGAGTTAGGCCTAATTCATCTCAAAAAGAAAGCCTTAAATCACATAGGGACATTAAACTAAGTGTCCAAGCTCTACAGTTCTTTCAAGTTGGAAAAGAAAATATCCAATTCACTATTATGACTATTTGTTAGGATGTCAGTTCAGCATTAACACTGACTGACCCACCATGAATTACCATTTATTTCTTGACATTCTCGTCTTTTAGTCCGATTGTCAGTTATTATATGTGCTTAAAAGTCAAGAGAGTATTTGAACAGGTACTCACTGATAGCAAAGTAACAGTAAAAGTATTCTGTTTAAGGTTTTAAATAGATTTTTAAAGATCAGCGCCAGTATCTTAGTTCCACATAATCCTGTATTTTCAGGTACAAACCCTTATTTGACAATTACCACTTTTCGAAATAAAACAGAATGTCTTTATTCATGCTGTCTTGCCAACTAAAATAGTTATGATTTTTAAACTATAATGAAATTATGTTACTGGTTTTACATGTGTTCTTTTTAAATTCCCTGACTCATAAGTATAATATACATAGTACAGTGACGTATTAAACAGTTTGCTCACATACATATTCTTTTGTTTTATCAAGCCACTGCCAAAAAATATGGTGTCTCGTCTTTGTGAATCTAAAAAGGTTTGTGCTGCAGCTGATATGCAACTTCAGGTATGTACGTACCTTTGTTCTGAAGTTTTCCAGAGTCATTATCCCAAATAAATATATAACTTTAAATTCTTGCCAATTATACCTATTTATTATAATAATTATGCTTCTAAAGCATCTTTCATCTGAGTTCAAAGAACTTGACCAAAATTGACTCATACATCCTCACACTGCCCTTATGAAGTAGGCGTTAAATAAGGTTATTTTCCGGCTGGGCGCAGTGGCTCATGCCTGTAATCCCAGCACTTTGGGAGGTAAAAGTGGGCAGATCCATGAAGTCAGGAAGTCGAGACCAGCCCGACCAACATGGTGAAACCCTGTCTCTACTAAAAAAACAAAAATTAGCCAAGCATGCTAATGAGTGCCTGTAATCTCAGCTACTCAGGAGGCTGAGGCAGGAGAATTGTTTGAACCCTGGAAGCAGAGGTTGCAGTGAGCTGAGATTATGCCACTGCACTCCAGCTTGGGCAACAGAGCCAGACTCCGTCTCAAAAAAAAAAGATTATTTACCATTTTCAGTTGGGAAAAATCAAAGCCTAGAAAAATTACATGAATTCTTCTAATCACGCATTTCACTGACTAAATTAAGGCTCAAACTTAATTATGTATGTATATGCTTATTCATTTTGTGTCTTTTAAAAATTTTTGGTTTTAGATTTGAAGTTTAGATAGTAACTACTGTTAGTTTTAGATAATATTCACAACCAACTTCCCAGGTTTCCAGATAAAGACGAGAAAACTTTCATGAACCATCTGGATGCCAGGTCTGCATGACACCAGATGCATAGATGTTTGTAATGACTGAGATTGTTTATGGAATTCTCACTCCTCCTCAGATCTTGAGAGTTATGTAAACACCCTAAACTCCCATCTTTCATCTGAGGCAGTATTCACTTTATGATGATTCAGTTACCTGTTTAAGAAAGTAACCACTATTTAATTGCTTTTTCGTTTTGTAAAATTCAATCCCTGGGAAGTAATGAATGTGCTCTGTTTTTCTGTACCTTGAAACATGGAATACATGTTTCAATGTAGGAAATCTGTTATATAGACAAAACCATGAATTTACATTTGCTTTACATTACTCAGTATCTATTCTATCAATATAAATTTTAAAGGATTTCTGAATTATTTTTAAAAATTAACATTACTTGGCAAAAGTCTTTTGATTTGCTGGTATCTTAGTAAAAGGCCTGCCTTTTAAAAGTCTGTTTTGTGGCTTTCTTCTTGCAAAGTTGTTCTAATAATTTTCTTTTAAAATGGAAAACCAACCTTTCCTTCCCCTGCCCTCCAAAAACAATAGCCCCTTAGAGACAGAGAGAGACAAAGGCCTGCTGGAGGAGCTGCCTGGGTCCAGCTTTTATATTACACTTGGACAGTGAAGACAAACAAGGGGGGAAGGAAGTGAATCGTCAGCTTTCTATGGGGACATAAACAGTGTTTTAAAAACTGTACATATTTTTAAATTATTGTTTTAAAATAGGCTCTTAATATTTTTCTGTGGCTTAATAAGCTTCTTGGTCCCAGGAATGCATTGACTCCCTGGGTGGGCAGATGGGCTTATCACTTTGGAGTTGTTTAGTTTATCAGCAAATAAGCATAAAAAGAATGCACATTTAATTTATTTTGTTCTCTTTTTGTATTTAATTTATTTTTGTCTGTTTTTATAGTTCAAAAAAGTTACCCCATGTTTGTATCATTTGTAAAAGGCATAAATGAAGACATGAAACTTTTGAATTCTGATTATTTATACACTGGGGCAAAATAACATCTCAGTTGAGGTTAGAATGTAAGAGTTTCAGTTCCTGTTAATTTGCTCTGTTAGAATATAGGTAAGACACTGAGTAATGTTGGCTCCTCTGATTATCCTTATGCATTGTTTTTCATGATAAAATGTAGAATTGAAAGAGCTATATTTAGCTGTATGTTTAGATTACCAGTTAGAAGAAAGCAATATTTATATTTAGGAAATGTCTGTATTTTTCTAGAGAAGGTTTAAACTTAACTCTATAATTTAGAACCATAATTCTATACCTAAATGCAGCCAGAAGCTAGAGGTCATTTAAATTTTTTCTTTTATTCAAACTAATCCTCACTTCTTTCAAGTCAACAGCTGCACATTCTCTACAAATCCCGTTTCTGAATCACAAAGATACATATCAGAAGCATAATTGCATGTCAAAATTTGTCCTATAAGGCATTTTCTACTTGCCTGCACGAAGTCAGATGTTCCAAGTCAGTGTTCAGAAACAATATTTGAGTCAAACGTTGCAGTGAAAAAGTACCTTATGTTTATTTTAGATTTCTATGCAAAATTTAGTTTTCAGTACTTTGTAAAGAACAGATTTCACATCCAAACTTTTTTGAGTGCTTTCTTTTCCTACTGTGTTTCAGTAGCCTGTATCCTCTACTCACAGGAGAGTGCTTCTTTTCCCCTGGTCACCTAGTTGAGCCAAAATTGTCCTATACAGCAGCTGCTTCCTTTGTACTTCCTGACTCCAGGTGTGGGGTTCTAGTTCCAGCCTCTCCAACAGCTGCATCAGAATTCTTGGATACATCTGTACGCACCGGATGCTGCGTTGCTATTTCTTTCTCTACCGCCACCACACCTATTTTTCTTTGACCTTTCATCACAAAATGAGGATTCTGACCATTTCATGCCTCTCATTTAAGATACATCAGGATTCCAGGAGGAAACCAAACAGGAGGGTCCAAAGTTGTAACTGTTTTTGTATATTTCCATGTACATATATTTTGGCAAAATTCCTGTTTTGTGGTCACATATTTAATTTGCCACATTGTACTTAAAGAGTATCTTATGGATGTGGTTCAAAATTCTTTAAAATTCTTATTTATGAAGAGGTTCTGGGAGCATTCCTTTTCATCTTTAGTGTGGTCTTAAATGTGGTATGAAATACATCTCAAACCATATAAGTTTATTTTTGTGACTGTTTGCAACTGTGATTTGCAAACAGATTTGCAAACTGTGATTTTTGTCACCCTAGTGCACCTGCAGCATCTTTGGTCCACCACATCTTGATGTGAGGATGGACCACCAAAACTAAGTAGATGTTTTTATCTGTCTAGGTCTTTTATTCCACTCTGGATCAAATCTACCATGGGAAGCATCCCCTGAGAAATTCAACCACAGACATTCTCAAGGAAACACAAGAGAAATTCTATGGCTTACCATACGTTCCAAATACTGTGAGTCCAGCATTTGCCTTCTGTTGTGTGTATTGAGTGGTTCTGCTAGTACTTCTGTAGATTGTGATCACCTTCCCCTTGGGAGGACCTGAAATCCCTATATGTATGTTGAGGCTTCACATGGCACACATGCTGGAAATTGCCTGGCTTGTTTAATATCTCCAACTACCCATTTATATGTTCTTATTTTCTACCTTCCAGCAGTGTTTTTCCTCCTTTCTGTAAATGTGGGGGTTAAAAACGCCATTGGAGTTGATCTATATTCTTCTTTTTAGTTATTTTTCTGTAATGTGAAAAATCATGATGTAAGATGAATGTAATTACCAATCCAGAATCATTTTCATTGCAAAGAGAATTAACATGTATTGAGTATCTTATATTGTACCAGGAATTATGATAGATGCTTTACATTTCTTATCTTGTTGAGTACCTATCAGGAGAGAGAGGAGGAGTAATGTTACCATTCATTGGATTCTAGGCGCCAGACTCTATCTACATTCTTTGGGAAAAGATCTCTAATTTAGCTCTCAAAATAACCTTATAAATTAGGTAATATCCTTGTATTTGGGGCTCATTTGGAGGCACATACACATTATATGTCCTGTCTGAGATCATCTAGGTAGTTAAATGAGTGTATCAGGGTTCAAAACAGCCTTTTTTCATCACTCAAAGGATCCTGTAAGGAGCAGTTGATCACCTGACTCCTGGTGCAATGAACAATGTGACTCCTGGTGCAGTTAGCAATGTGACTGACAACGTTACACAGGCCTCTGTCAGTTGCAAGTGATAGAAACACAGTTCACATGGACTTAAACAGAAAATGGAATTTATTGAGTCTTATAACTGAAAGGTGCAGGGGTATAGGGGTGTTTCAGGTAAGTTCGATTTAGGTCTCCCATAGTATTGTTAGAAATTTTTCTTTTTCTTTCCTCTCCTCAGCTCTGTGTTTTTCTGGGTTCCTTTCATTCTCAGGCAGTCTCCCCAGACTGGATGGTTTGATAACTACTGGTAGGTTCAGGTTTATGTCCTTCTAGCCTAGTTGGTCTAATTGAAGGAGAGCTAATTTGAAAGTGTTTTGTAAACTGTAAAAAGCAGAATAAATATCAAGTGATTTTATTTGCTATATGATTGGATAGCAGAACACGTTGTGCCAAGAGGTTAAGTTAATCAATAAACTACAACTGTCCACTAAATCGTCAGGTCCTAATGCTCAAATATGCATGGGAAAAGATCATATTTACCAGACAAGGGAAGCAACAGGATATTTTATCTTTATAATACCCCTTGTCATTAGTTTTCGATTGTCTTAGAAACTTAATCACCTGCTACAAGTAAATAATGCTAATCATCAGTTTTTGATCTTACATGTAATTTACTGTTCTAATACTTTGTACTGCTGAGCTCTTGATTATCTGTGCTAGTGAAAATTTATAGCGATAAGAATAATCTATTTCTTCGTGGAATAAATAATAAAAACAATTGCCAAGATTTTACTAGCATTTTCCAGTTCACAGAGCATTTCCTGACTCACCTGCTTTGGGGCTTGTCTGTTTTTGTTTTATCTTACATTCTTCTTTGTGGATATGAGTTAAATTTTATGACTAGTAAGTAGTAAAGTTATAGGAAGACTAACATTAGTAGAACTGGGATGCTGGCCAAAGCTGCAAAACTTCAGCTTGACTGAGTTGCTTGACCACTGCTTTTTTTAAAATCTTAAGTCTTATAATAATGTAACTATGTATCTTTTAAAAAGAAAACTCAACTTTTTTTACCATCCAGATTTCTTCTCTGTAATCATTTAATATGAAAATATGAAGTAATAGTGGCAACCAAACTCTGAATCAGCAATCCACAAATCACTATTAATTTGAAAGGAAGGGTGATGTTAAGTCCGTGTGCCTTGTCCTAATTCCTTTTGAGAAAATAAAAAGATGTATCTCTTTACTGGGATTAGCTCTACAATTCATCTTCAGTAGCCATCGCTCTTCATGTAAATTGTTTTAAAAGTCCTTTAAAAGAAGCATAGCTATGTTTAGAGAAAAAAAGACATTATTTTAAGGCTTGCCTTTAAAAAAAAAAGTCTGAGAGTTTGTTTAGATTTGCACAAATATCTTACTCTTCCTACTTAGAAACATCTGCATTTCCTCATTTGTTTCTCAATTCATTCTTCAAGCCTGTAACCTTCCCAACAGCACGTTGGTGAACTTGACCGCTCAGGATTCAAATAAAGCTGTAGGAGTTGAGACAGTGTAACATTGGTATGGGGATGCACAGATAGCAATGGAACAGGAACAAGAGCCCAAAAGCAGACTCGGCAAACTCACAGACTCTTGAATATAGGTTGAGTGATACTGTAGATCAGTGGGTGAAGAAGGAACAATTTTTTTAAAGTGGTGTTTTAGTGATTGATCATCTATAAGGAAAAAAAATGCAGCTCTGTATCACACTGCACACAAAAAATAAAGTTAAAGACCCAAATGTGTAAAGCTTTACATTTTTAGAGCATAATGCAAAAGAATATCTTTATGAGTGTGTGTGCGTGTGTGTGTGTGTGTGTGTGTGTTTTCTTTTTTTGTTTTTTGAGACAGAGTCTTGCTCCGTTGCCCAAGCTGGAGGGCAGTGGTGTGTTATTGGCTCACTGCAACCTCTGCCTCCTGGGTTCGAGCAATTCTCCTGCCTCAGCCTCCCAAGTAGCTGGGATTACAGGTGTGAGCCACCATGCCCAGCTAATTTTTGTATTTTTAGTAGAGATGGGGTTTTACCACGTTGGCCAGGCTGATCTCAAACTCCTAACCTCAGTTAATCCTCCTGCCTCGGCCTCCCAAAGTGCTAGGATTACAGGTGTGAGCTGCTGTGCCCAGCCATGATAGTGTTTTTTTGTTTTTTGTTTGTTTTCCTTTTTCTTCATCTTTCAACTTGAGATAGTGTGTTTTTATACCCACTCTGAATATCTTATATTTTGTACAGATAGTCCTGAAGTTGCAGTCAGGTCCCAATAAACCCATTGTAAGTTGAAACTGTCATAAGTCAAAAATACATTTAATACCCCTACACTGCTGAACATCATAGCTTAGCCTAGCCTACCTTGAATGTGCTCAGAACACTTGTATTAGCCCATAGTTGGGCAAACCCATCTAACGCAAAGCCTGTTTTATAATAAAGTGTTGAATATCTCATGTAATTTATTGAATACTGTACTGAAAGCAAAAACCAGAATGGTTATCTGGCATCCAGAGTACAGTATCTACTGAATGCATATTGCTTTCACACCATCGTGAAGTTGAAAAATCTTAAAGTTAAAAAATCTTAAGTAAGTTGGGGATTTTCTATATACAGTAGAAAAGCCATTAAATGTAAAGGAAAAGACTGACAAATTCAATGATATTGGAACTGAAATACCACATAGCATAAAACTTACCTTTTTTTTTTTTTCCTTGAGATGGAGTCTTGCTCTGTTGCCCAGGCTGGAGTGCAGTAGCGCAGTCACAGCTCCCTGCAACCTTTGCCTCCTGTGTTCAAGCAACTGTCTCACTTCAGCCTCTTGAGTAGCTGGGATTACAGGTGTCACTATGCCCGGCTAATTTTTGTACTTTTAGTAGAGATGGGGTTTCAGCATGTTGGCCAGGCTGGCCTTGAACTCGTGACCTCAAGTGATCTGCCCTCCTTGGCCTCCCAAAGTGCTAGGATTACATGTGTGAGCCACTATGCCTGGCCATTGGAAAATGATATATTTTTAAATTACTTTGAATGAGCAGAAGACATGGATTTGTAAAAAATGACATAAAATAACTTAAATATTAATCAGGGAATACACATTAAAACCACTTTACCATACTCCCAAAACATTTTACCATCACTGGTTTGGCAAAAAATAAAACAATTGACATTACCAGATGTTGGTAAGGATGTGGGGTCACAGGAACTCTTACACACTGCAGGTAGAAGTGCAAGTCGATGCAGGTAGAAGTGCAAGTCGATACAACCACTTTGCAAAACAGATCTGTGAAATCTGAATATGGACCACCCTGTGACCCAGCAATTCAATTCCCAATATAACCTAGAGAAAAATGTTGTACTTTCTCTACCAGGTATACTTTTCTGTACCAGGCATGAAAAATAGGAAGGTTTATAACAGCACTGTTTGTAAGTAGTTTTAACAAAAAAAAAAAAATATGAGGGGGTGGATTCTGGGAAGAACCCAAGTGATTGTCATCAGAGAAATTGATAAACAATTTGTGCTTACGGATGATGAGCCTCACAAGCATAAAGTGAAATAAATGAATACCACATGAATCAAACTAGTACATTTATATGAAGTTCAAAGTGATGCAAAACTAAGCAGTACATTGTCAGATAAATACATATGCCGTAAGACTATAAAGAAAAGCGAGGGAATTATAAGCACAGAATTCACAGGATGGGTTCACAGGAGTCTTAGAAATATTTTCTTAAACTGGTGGGTACATGGCTGATGACTTTGTCATTCTTTCTACTAATAGTAGACGTATAGTCTTGGCAGATAGAAAACACTTGCATATAGTCTTGGCAGATAGAAAACACTTGCATATAGTCTTGGCAGATAGAAAACACTTACAAGGATTAAAAGGTGAATTGGGCTACCAGGTATGGGGTATGCCACGAATGGATCTTGGCAAAGCTGCTGGTGGCTTGAACTAGAACAGTGACTGTGGAGAGTGGAAGGTTGAAATGGACCTGAGAACAGTGCAGAAGGCAGAATCAGTGCAGCAGGGGTGACTGGATATAGGGGTTGGGGTGATGATGAGCAAGATCCATGGGGATGAAGCGACTGCAAGGCTTTCAACTTCCGTATCAGATAGAAGATGACTTTGCAGTGCCTTCCCATGCAGGCCAAAGAGGGACAGTGTGAACTTGTCTCCAGAAATTCTTTCTCTGAAATGAATACTTTTATTTCCCCAAATACACAATGAGAAAAGGAAAATATAAGCCACAGAGAGTATTTATAATGCTTATAGAGTTGA